TTTCTGCTTACAAACTGGCCATTTCAGCAGGGGAGGGGAGGTGCACACCTTGTTGCTGCCTTTGGGGATCTCCATTCAAACTCTGCTCTTCCTCAAGGCCTCACCTTTCTGGGCTGCTCTTTCTGGTGGGTGGTGGTGGGAGTTCCAGCTCTCCACAAGGCCTCCACAAGGGGCTGGAAGGGGACAGGGTGCCTTATTATTGCTCCTCACCTGGCTTCTACTGACATCATTGCTTCCTTCTCTCTAGAGTGGTAAAACTCTAGGCTCTCCAAGTGTTTTTATATGTGTAAGAGGCAGGGCACTGATTTTTCCATGGTGTTTGGCTGGAGTAGAGAGAGCAGCTATGGTATAAAGCATTTTGCCCTACTAGACCCTTTCCTGGTCTTTGGGCTACAGAGAGCAGACTTCTGTTGGGGCTTTTGGTGTTTGTCAGCTTCTTCAGCCCCAAGTTTGGGATAGACAAAGCTGAAGAAAACCCAAAAAGCTCACTATTGTGTCCCTCCTTGGGTCCAGGCCTTAGCTACCCCAACTTGTCCTCCTTCAGAGTCTGCTCAGGTTTTGTCTTAACATTTGACACCCAGGGTATTTAGTGGTACTTAGCAAGAAGAACTAGAAAAAGTCCTGCTTCCTCTACCCAGAAGCAATAATTTAAATTCTAATTTTTAAAAACGTTTTATTATGGAGAATTCCAAGCCTACACAGCTATAGAGAGAACTGTCCAGTGAGCCCCATGGACCCACCATCTCCTTTCAACAACTATCAACTCCAGACCTCTTTCACTTTCACCCTGACCTCTTTCCTCCTTCTGAGTCATTTTTAACACCAGCTGTGGACCTCACGTTTCAACTATAAACATTCACTGTGTCTTTAGAAAAACACTGTTAGTAAATAGTCAGTACCAGGGCTGGGGGTGTGGCTCAGTTGCAGAGCACTTGCCTAGCCTTGGTGAGGGCCTGGGTTCAATTCCTAAGCACCACAAACAAACAGACAATGAGAAAACAAAAATAAAACCTCAAGACCAACATCACATCAAAAACATTAACAATAAATCCTTAATATCTTCAAATATTCAGTTGGAATTCAAGTTTCTAATTATCTTATAAATTTCATGAAGCTTTCTAACAGTCAGTTTGGAACCAAATAAGGTTCATATAATTTCTTAAATTTCATTTACTCTCTTAATGTCCCTATGTTTTTTTTAATCCTTCATACCAATCTGTTTAAGACATTGGGTCATTTGTTACAATATTTTGGATAAAGTCCTCATACTGTTAGGTAAAAAATGCAAAGTGACCCAGGTACAGAAGCACACATCTATAATGCCAGCAACTCTGGAAGCTGAGCCTCTGCAAAAGCTAGGTGCTAAACAACTCAGTGAGTCCCTGTCTCTAAATAAAATACAAAATAGGGCTGGGGATATGATGAGTGGTTGAGTGCCCCCGAGTTCAATCCCTGGTACAACCCCCCAAAAAAACCAAAGTGAAGAAATCACAGCCAGAACTCATGCAGCACACCCAAACAAAAAGGATAGAAAGAAATGCCTCAGACTTTGGTGGAAGGAAAAGAATGGGCAACTAGGAAGTGGGATTTAACTTTATGTTTACTATGGGTTTTTCATTTTGCTTAAAATTTACATAATGATTGGGTAACACCTAACAAATAAATTTAAACATGCACCTACAACATTGATAAACATCTACTTCATCTAACTCCAACAGCCTGAACACCAACTTACTGCATCTTGTCAAGTCTTGGTTGGGCTTGGGGGCCCTAGCTAACCATGGTTGGTTGGGAGGTTGAACCACAGCCCCACACTCCATAAACTCCTGTGGAGCTGGGCTCACCAAGCCGAGAAACAGCTGGTTCCTTTGATTGCTCCAATGGAAGGGTGTTTAAGACTTGCTAGGCAGTAAAGGCTTCATATAGAACAGAGGTTTTGAAAAAGGTTTCTGCTGAGCTCATGGATGATGCTTCCAACAAACCTAAGCCAGCAAGGGAGCCCACCACACAAAAACCTTTTTGTGGCTCTGGGGTTCACCTCCCCCTCAACACAAACTAGGCAAGTCAGAGCTCAATGACTGGATCTGCAAATGCTAACCCACTGGCCACAAGAATCTATTCAACATCCAAAAGAGGGGGGAAAAAGTAAACCCCTCGACCCTTTATAAACTAGATGGAATATTCTCAATTCCTAGGCTCAGGTAGTGAAACAAAGCAATGTAGCCACCTAGGAGAGAGCACAAAACCAGCCTTGGCTTTCATTTCACCATGGAATAAGGATAATGTCTCAAGGCCCCATCTGTGAAGCCTCACACTGTGGCCCTGTCACCTAAAATGACCATTTTGCTGTCCTAGTTTAAAAGGGAAAAGAAGTTAACCAGATTGCCAGGTGGCCCAGCAAGTCCGCTGTGGAATTAAAAGAAGGGACTCAGATACTTGCACACCCATATTCGTGGTAGCACTATTCACGAGAGCTGGGAGATAGAAACAACTCAAACGTCTACCAACAGACAAATACATACACAAAATGTGGCACATGCATGGAATAGAATATTCAGCCATAAAAAGGAATGAAATTCTGATCCATGTGACCACTAAAAATACATGCTAAGAGAAGTAAGCCAGACACAAAAGCACAGATATTGTGTGACTCCGTTTCTATGAGGTACCTATGCAAATTCACAGAGACAGAAAGTAAAAAAGAGGTTACCAGGAGGAGAGAACAGAGATAGGATATTTTAATGACGGTGATATTTTCATTCCAGAAGTTGAAGAGTTCTGAAGATGGATAGCAGTGACGGTCGCATGCCACTGGGAATATACTTAATGCCACAGAACTGTACACTTAAAAATGGTTCAAATGGTGAATTTTGTGTTACGTACACTCTACCATGATTTCTAAAATACAAAAAGCTACACATATATAAATATAAAAGAAATAAAGGTTTGTTTCCTCCTCCTGTCTCCAACACTTACAAAGAGACAGAAGGAGGAAATGGCAATGACCAGCCACATTCCTGAACCAAAGTGAATGGTCACATTCTAGAAAACAGCACTGTGAAAGGAAGCCGTGTCACATTTAACAATGGGGAAATGGGACAGCCAGTGATAAGGTTATTACAAACAAGCATTTTATGTCTTGATTAGATTCAATGCGTTTGGTCAATTTTGTTGACCAGGGATTTGTTTTTGCAGCTTTTTTGCCATTACAAGGAAGCACAGTCTTCAAACTCAGGGATCCCCTCATTCCAATTATGGTTCAGAGAAAGCAACATGAGCATGCCAACTTTGAGTAAGTACAAACGGAAGGAGGACTTCCAACAAAGTCCCCAGTTCCTACCAACACAAATCATTGCATAGACCCCACCTCAATGCCAGAGAGAACCTCGAGTGGCAAGTGCATCCTCACCAGCATTACTAGGCTTTCCGTGAGTCTAAAACTTGCCCGAAAAGACCCATGAGAAGACCCAGGCACTGAAAGCAAGAACAACACCTGGTCAACATCTCTGGCCTGACATGTGTCATCTTAAGGCTTAGCTGATGCCTACAGGGAAAACACTTTACTCAAAGGGAATGTGTTTACAGGACATCCTGTGAGACACATGCCTGGAACTCTGCAAAAAGCCAATACTACCAAAAAGAGAAAAAAAAAGTTTGGGGAAATTATTCTATATTTAAAGAGTCTAAAGAGGAATAACAAATGTAGCAATATAAACCTCAATCAAATCTTGATATGTAAGGTTGTCTATTATAATAGAAAAATTTTCAGGAGAATTTGAATACAAACCAGATATCAGATGATATGAAATTATGGTCAATTTTCTTATATGTGATAATGAATCCTGTAATTAAATAAGAGGCCATCTTATTCTGAGGAGAGGCTTACTGATGAATTGAGATGTGAAATGTCACTATACCTGCATCTTTTTTTTTTGGTCTCAGGGACCAGAAAACTCCTGAACCCCTCGTGAACCCCTGAACCCAGGGGTACTCTACCACTGAGCTGCATCCCCAGCTCTTTTTATTTTGAAGCAGGATCTCACTAAGTTACTAAGACTGGCATCAAATTCATGATTCTTCTGCCTTAGCTTCCCAAGTTGCTGGGATTATAGGATTGCACCACCACGCCCAGCTTACTTTTTACTAATTGAACAAGTGCACACATAGAAAGACACAAATAAACGTAAACACAAAGCCAAAAAGAAAACTATTCAGTTAGAATGGTAACAATTATTAATTCTGGTATGGGTTATATAGGATATAGTGTGTATAAATATCATCCCGACTGCAATTATGAAACTTAATAAAACACACTTCTTCTCTTCTGCATAGAAAAGAGAGAAAGTTGTATCTCACTTACCAAAAATCCTTACCAAAAATCAAACTGTGCAGTCACACAACTGTTCTCTTTTCAAAGTTAGTATACTTGAAGTCAGGTGCCAACCAGGGCACCAAATACCTTGAAATGGCTTCAACCCAGTATCATGTTCTGAGCAACACTCTGTCCTGTAGATGCCTCAGAGTCTCATAAACAGGATGTCTCAATAAGGAAGTTTCTGCCAGGGGTTAACAATAACTCCCATCCCATCTGGAAACCTGAGGCCACTTTTGCACAACGGGAGAAATGAATCAAGGGTCAGATGACTCAAGCTCTTGCCTGCCCCCATCAGTGATGAGTGACCTGAGGCAAGACCTATCCCCACTCCTTGTGGACAGGCTCTGATTCCTCTTCTGAAAATGCGAGCAATGGCCCTTTCTCTGTTGCAGGGTCACTGCACTAACATCACAAAGCAGCAAACTCTTCATTCTCTATCATAAGATGGTCAGAAATAATGGATCTCTAGGATAAAAGGAAAAAAGGCACATAACAAAGAAGGCCTAGGATATCTAGAAGGATTAAGCCTGTCCTATCATCTTCATTCAGAACATTCCTGGCAAAACCACATAACAATCTCCAATACCAGAGGACAAGCCTCAAAGCCAAAACGACCAGCTCTTACCTCTGCCATAGGCCCTGGCTTTCTTTGGGTTGAGTTTGGGTTTAAGAGGAGCTCCTGGTTTGAGCTTGGCTTTGGGGAACTGGGACAGGTAAGTCATCACTGAGTGTTCATCCACATCCGGGTGAATAATTTCTTCAGGAGTGATGACCTAGAAAAACAACATGGCAGATGAATACCCAGAATGTCTCACTTGGCAAGCACTGAAAATTTTGCAAATAGCTCTTAAACCAAATGCTACAAATGCTAAGAAATTGAGTCAGCTTCTCACTGAAGTGAAATACATTAAACCAAAATGCCCAGATTGGTGTTTTTAACCTCTTAGAGGATAAAGCTGGGGGATCTTTTCCAGAAAATTCTCCACATAATTTCCAGAGATTCATTCTCTTCCCTCCCAAAATAAGACTCCTCTCTCTTCCCTGGTCAAACTTTCCAAAAAAGGATAAAGCAATAAGCTATAGCAAACAGGAGGAAGAAGAAAGAAGGAAACACACAGGATTAAAAAATACCATTTAAAAAAGTACATAGATAAAACAGCATTTTACTTATAAATCCACTCTCTACATCTCTATTAACTCTACTAATAAAAATAAACAAAATCAGTAGGAGACAATACAGGGACATATTAGATATGTGGTCTCAATCTATCAGGAGTCATTAAAAAATAAAATGGGGAGTGGGTGAATTTCTCCTGACACTCAGTTTAAGATTAGATTCACATTGGACAGGTGACCTCCATGAAGGTGTTAAAAGCCTCGGTTCTACCACTGATCCAGACCTAACAGCATGCCAAATGCTCCCTGTCCCCAACAATGGTGCTGAGCGGGTAACCACCACTCCTTAAACAAAGGGAAGGCTTGGTCTACTGACCCAGGTTACCCAAACGCTATAAACCGATGTATTCAACTTCCCCCTCCCTGACATAAAAAGCAACAAAGGAAAACATTCTGATGATTAGTCTGCAAGAATAAAATAGCTCTTTGGGTTTGAACAGTGGCCTGTAATACATTCCATATAAAATTGATGTGCACAGGTTTGGCATTTCTCCCCAGCAGCTCCTTTAAAACTTTACAGTGCTAACATCATATGAACGTCAAAAGGAGATGGTTTTAGGTTTAAAAGGAGATGAAAAACATACCACACCACTTCCTGAGGGTGGGTGAGCCAAGAAATGGGTCATGTAGCACAGACATGATTTCAAAACCAAACCAAGGAAATAGGCAAGTTTTTCTACCTTCCTAGGAATCCTGTTACAAAATACACTGAAATCAGCTCTGAACACCAACTCAGACCTTAGTGGAGCCTACAGTGAGGTCTTCAGCAGCGCAGTACCAACTATCTACAACTTCTCTTTGATCAGGACTTTGACCGTCGGAGTCATGGTTGCTTAACTATCAAAGGTAGTTTTTTTAGAAAGAAACACTGGATTTCCTCCCTGCTAGGAAGAATGGACATCAGCTAAGCAATGTGGCTATCATAGATGGTATCTTAGTCTTTTTTCAAGTTCTTTTGTTATCCCTGTGACAGGATTATGGGCAATACAAATTCTTCCACAATTCCCATTAATAGTGAGTTATCCCTGTTTACAGTGTTTTTAAAAGTTCTAAGTCCTGTTAGTATGGTGTTGCACGCGTATAATCCCAGTGGCTTGGGAGGCTGAGACAGGAGGATCTTGAGTTCAAAGCTAGCCTCAACACTGGTGAGGCACTAAGCAACTTAGTGAGACCCTGTCTCTAAATAAAATACAAAATAGGGGATGTGGCTCAGTGGTTGAGTGATCCTGAGTTCAATCCCCAGTAACTCCTGCCACCCACAGAAAAAAAAAAGGTCTAAGTCCTATGACTTTCCCTAAAATATCAGATTGAAATTGTTTTTCTTTTATATAGGTAAAAGATGACTGAATACTGGCAATTTCTTATGGTTCAACCTAATAGCTAAGGTCCACATTTGCTACTTGGGGCTTAAAGACTGCCTTTAAAGTATTTGGAGCAAAAAAAGTAGAAAATTTGGAGACAGGGAAAGGAAATCCAGGTGACAATTAGCCCTATGGACACAGAGGCTGAGATGGTGTCTGTTCTGGCCCAAGCTGGACACCATAGGCCACACTGGCTGTGCATGTAGCTGAGGACAAACACGGACACAGGATGCTCCCAGCTGGTGAGGTCCATGAGGTTTCAGCAGCCCTGAACTGCTCTGAAAATGGTGACGAAAAACAACATCGGGGAAAAACATAAGCAGACTCCACCTGAGCTCTTTCTGCCCAGCCATCCCACCCAGACTCACCCTTCCAGGATCTGCAACAGAGGATTCTTCACCTGTTATCTTTCAGATGAATAATTTTTTTTCTGTACAGTAATACTTACCTAGTAATAAATACTGATTATCATATCACATACACACACACAAGGAAAAAGTAAAAGAAAAACAAAGTTTACCAGCATGTGACAAAGAAGAGTGACATAAGATTTTTGGGTGATCCAAAAGCACCTAAATCCACGAGAATCTATTATTTATTATGAGTAAACTGAGGGAGGTGGGAGAGGGCCAAAGGCCATGTTCTTGGAAGGCTGAATGCCAAGATCCGACTGCCCCTATGACCCAGAAAGGTATCCAGAGTGGCAGAAATAAACCAAGGGATGGGGCAGGTTCATGGGACATGGCACATGTGTTTATACCTGTGGGACACCCAGCCAGTCATCTGCCTGCTGCATGGCTTCTCGGGCATTATCCACAGGCTTCCGTGGATCCCAGGACTCCCAGTCTGGGCACAGACCTGTTAACACAAAATATGCTTTTAGCAGAGCAGATCCAAGAGACTAAAAGAAGCCACGTGTCTAAAATTAAACCCATTTACTCTCTTAACTCAAGAGAAAAATTTCCTCCAAAATCTCAGTGAATTCTATATTTTAAGGATCACACTCTTCTACATTAGCAGAGGCTTCTCCTTTAGGCTGCTATGTTCCCACATTAAGACAGGGGCTCCCCATTCCTTGAAGATCTGCTATGACAAACAAAGCCGATAAGATTATGTGGGCTTCATGACTTTTGCGGGGAGAAATTCTTTTGATCCTATTCCTGGATAGAGCTGAAAAAAGACAGAACTAGCATCTGTGTGGTTCAAAAATCTACTTGCATGAAGACACAGTCATAGAATTATTTTCAAAGTCTTTATAAACACACGAAGTATAGAACTGGAGTAAAAATCCTCAGATTTAAATTGGGAAGAGGCATCCTAAGTTCTGTTTTTAAATGAATGGAAGAAGAGGGCAGTGGGAGATGAACTAATGCTGTGCTTCAAGTTCTTCCTGAATGATACCACGTTATGGGCTCTCAAGGAAGAATGCAGCTTGATCAGCCCTCCTCCTTTACTCAAAGGACACTAGCTAGTACTCCTTTGGTTGTATTTAGGACTGCTACCTTATTAGATACTAATAGGAGTTGGGAGCAGTGGCGCACTTCTGTAATCCCAGAATCTCAGGAAGCCGTGACAGGAGGACAACAAGTTCAAGGCCAGCCTGAGCAACTTTGTGAAAACCTGCCTCAAAATGAAAATAAAAAGGACTGGGGATGTAGCTAAGAGGTAGAATACCCCTGGGTTATCCCTGGTGACTCTTTTCTGAGTGGCTCAGTGTACACCAAGATTGTAAAACAAACAAAAATCTAATGTGCCCAGCATATACAGATCACTCAGTAAATGGAAAATATAATTATCAAAGTAGTTTTTTTTTTTTTTTTAATTAAAAACAATTTTAGGGGGTGCATGTAAACACTGGCTCTGGTTTTTCTATTGAGTGTAGGGCGGTAAACTCTATCCATCAATCTAAACCCTTCCAGTGAGGATAATTACAATCTTGGTGTACACTGAACCACTCAGAAAAGAGCCCATCAAGGGTGGAAAAGACTCCAACTGGATCCTGATCAAGCACTATTCCACAGCAATACAGAAAGAAAGGAGTGAAAAAAGCCATATATAGTCAAACCAGTGGTTAATAAAAACAAGAACTTTCCACTCTATGGAAGTTTTTAGATTTTCATGCCAAGCCACCTAAGAGGGTCACATATTTCTGCCAAAGCCATCCAGAAACCAGGCACCAATGTGGGAAGACACAGGACTTTGGAGTCTGAAAGCTAAACCCACGGTCTGCTCCAAGCATAAGCACTGAGGCCTTTGCTGGGAATTTAGACGACTAGATTCAATGCTCCAATATATCTGTGGACACACCTAGAACATCTGCCACTGGAAGGGTGAACAGTCATTTTTAGTTCCATTATTTGTCATAGAGTAGGCTAAAACCAGGAGACACACACCAGTTACAGCTAAGCTTGAAGCCAACCCCAGAAGTTTAGGGCCCAATGACTCCCATCCCAAGAGATGATTTAGGCAGAGAGGGTACTTACCTGGAGCACAGCTGTCAACCAGGGCTCCCAGGGCTTTGCCATCTTGCCAGTTCTGGTTGAAGTTGGTGATGGGCAAATAAGGGATCTTGTTCTGAATCCATCCCAGCAGCCTCTGCTTTGGTGTCTGCTTCTTGGCATCGTCATCCCCTTCATCCTCCCACACGGGCATGGAGATGGAATAGTGGAGAATCAGCGTCCATACCAGGCCCAAGATGAGCTTCAGGTTCCCATCCACAATGGCTTTGCTATCTGTGGAGACAGGCATAGGTATGGTCATTCTTTTGGGTGACCCAAGCATGAATCATGCCCCTGAGTGAATGAAGTTCTCACCCCTAAGATATTTGAGAGTGAACGGGAACAATGCTAGGATTTGCATCAAAATACTTGAGGATGGGAATAGAGGAAATATGATTCCAAAATGTTATTCACTGGCACCACTGGATCATGAGGATGCACTATACTATTGTCTCTATGTGGATGCTTGAAATTTTTCATAAGAAAAAGGTTTTACAATTTATAAAAAATCATTTCAGAAATATAAATAATAAAAAGGTGTCTAAGCTAAGGTTGTGGCTCAGTGGCAGAGTGCTTGCCTAGCACATGTGAGGCACTGGGTTCAATCCTCAGCACCACATAAAACTAAAGAAATAAAATAAAGGTACTGTGTCCATCTACAACTAAAAATTTAAATAAATAGGTACATAATTAAATTTTTAAAGGAGGGTGGAGGCATCACTGAGAAAACCACCTGCTAACCTGGTGTCACAGTCTAGACTATATGTGTGTATGCTTGTATACACTAATGTCACAGTGTTTGCTGCCCTGAATGTATATTATACTATACTGTTGACTGTTTTGCAGTGCTGGGGATGGAACCCAGGGTCTCACACGTTAAGTAAGTGCTTTTCCAATGAGCTGCATCCCCAGCCCTACAATCAGCTTTTAAATGCTTCTTTTCACTATTAATATGTCTTAGTCATCCTTTCCTTATAAATATTGTTTTCATTTATACTCCCATCTATAGGTTTAAGAGGACAGAGTCCTCTTAAATCTCACCAATGCTCAGTGTTTTCAGTTTTGACAAAAATTGACAAGTCAATTTTTCAAAAGAGGAAATCATTTAATAGTTAAAATGACGCAAATGGGCAAAGCCAAGGGGGGAAGTGGGAAGCCAAAGTCATAGCCCCTTTCTAGTCTTCCCTCTGCTTGACAAAACACCACACTTTGACCAGCGCTTCCAGTTCTCTGTCCTTTTACCAACGTCCATCTATACCCACAAAACTCAAACAACAGCTGGGTACAGCAGTGCATTCCTGAAATCCCATCTCGGGATGCTGAGGCAGAAGGATCACAAGTTTGAGGCCAACCTGAGCGACTTAATGAGACCCTGCCACCAAGCTGGGGTGTATCTCAGTGATACGGCAACCCTGGGTTCAATCCCCCATACAAATGAATTAAAAAAAAAAAAAAAACTCAAGCATTATAAATATTATCTTTAAATATCTCTATCTCCCTCTCCCTCAGTTTCTTATCTCCCTCACTACCAAACATCCACCCCCTTGTACAGGGACCCCAAGGTGAAAACAGTAGAACCACCTTGGGATCTTCCTTCAAATCCCTGGTATAGTTTGCACAGTGTATCATCTCCCCCTACCCTAATCTCTTGGCAAATCTCTATACCTTCCCAATAAACATCAACCTTCTCCTCTTTTGCAGCATCTTGAACAGCCATTGAAGAAGTTAAGTCTCTGTTCACATAACCCAGCACCATCTTTCTAGTCCTTATTCCCTGGTCCTGACTTCCACAGTCAACTCCTTAAACACACCTTCAGAACCTACACAAGTTCCAGTGAGCTTTACCCTTGTCACCCATACCCACCCACCATAACCCATTCTCAGGCTCAAAGATGGCCTATTCCCCCAAGATATCTTATTCTGAACCCCAGGGCCTTTTGGTATTCTGTATTCCTTTGATGGAAAGACTCTTTACACCATCCTCCTGCAAGACAAACCCTGGTTCATCATTCAGGCACCAAACCTCAAGGTTGGTGGTGCAACATTCCCACCAGCATGTGTGTTGTAAACAGGCCAGGGACCTCTCCCTCAACATAGGACCTTCTGTCCGTTTCCCTGACTCCTACCCTCAGGCCCCAGGAATGCCTAGTAGAGAGTAACCAATCCTTCTTCATCTTTGAGTCACCCCTGTGCTCCACCATAAGCCACCTGGGTTACACATACACCAGATTGCACACAATGAAACCCAACTACAACCACATGCCACTAAGGAGTGCATGGTCTGCCACTCAAAACTGAAAGACTGAGGGCTTTTTAAAAATTAAGCTGGTTGGGGCTGGGGTTGTGGCTCAGGGGTAGAGCGCTCGCCTAGCATGCTTGAGGCACTGACCCTGTCTCAAAATAAAAAATATTCGATCCTCAGCACCACATAAATGCAAAATAAAGATATTGTATCTACTTAAAACTAAAAAATAAATATTAAAAACAAATAAATAGAAAAATATAAAAATTAAGCTGGTTATTGTTGGATCTCTTACAACAAAAGATCCTCTAAAAGCCCACACCCAAACCCACAGAAACCAAGAACAAATTTCACAGTTGCAGATTCAGGCATAATAAAACCTGATCAAGTACATTGGACAAATAAAGATTATCATGAACTGGCTGGTTAGACAAACTAAATTCAAGCAATCTTCACTTCAAGAGTGAAGGTATCCAAGAATTTTCTATGTAATTAATTGTCAAATAATAACTTTGAAGCAGGACTATCTACATAATTCATAGTACCTAGTTTTTAAAAAAAAATGGAAATGCAGGGCCCTTTGCCCAAAAAGCATGGAGAATTTAAAGACCACAACATCATTAAATCAAGTGGAGAGCCCTCTGAGCATACAGGTTGTGTGAACACAAGGCCAGTCCTGCTTCTAAGGTCCTCCAGTCAATATAGGAGCAGTGGTCCACAGAAAACCCTGGACTCTGCACTTGGTATCTGAGCAATTAATTCATGGCAGTCCTTGACCATGACTAAAATTTTTGGATTATATATCCTGTTACAAGGTTATCTTTGAAATGCTATTCATTGCCAACTTATTACCTATCGATCATCAGAATTTCCAGGTCAAATTTCCATTCCAGTTTCCTTTATTCAAGCTAAAGGCTTGAAGAATAATCTTCAAAAATGTGGGCAGGCAAGGTGTAGTGGTGCATATCTGTAATTCCAGTGACTGAGGAGGCTGACGCAGGAGGATCACAAGTTTGAGGCCCTCAACAATTTAATGAGGCCCTAAGCAACTTGGCAAGACCCTGTTTCAAAATAAAAAATATAAAGGGCTGCAAATGGAGCTTAGTGGTTAAGTGACCCTAGGTTCAATCCCTAGTACCTTGAAAAAAAGTGGGAGGGTGAGAAAGTGGGGGAGTGAAGTTTATGTGTGTCACCCAGCCACAAGCCACCAGTGTGCAAAACTCAAAACCTCCCAGAGTTTTGTGTTAAATGCTTTTCAAAAGCAAACCTGAAGATTTAATGCATAACTCAAAACACAAAGCAAGTTTGCTGTTTTGCTGTATTTTTATCTAGCTTACACATGCTGCTCTAAAGGAAAGAGACAAGAATCTTTTTTAAATCAAAAAGATTTGGGGGGGGGGAATATGACTCAGTTAAAGTCTGAGCCAAATTTATGAAAAATATAATGCCCAGGATTCTGTTTCCAATGAATTCAAGGTGGGTGTCCAAATGGGAAAGCCCCCATTACAGTCTCACTGGGATAAATGATACCTTCATTCTGCTATTCTAAGAAGCTGGAGGGAAAACAGTCCTTGTTCCAAAAGTGATTTTGACAGGTGAAAGTTCAAATGTCTGACCACATTCTTGGAACAATAAAAAATGGCAACTTACCCAAAAGGCCTCCCCAGTTCCCATCCACAGGAAACAGGAGACTCCCAGGCCTTGAAAACAAAAGGCTACACAACATCACAGAATCACTGTCTAACCATTACCACAGATTACAGAATTTTCAGACCTGAGTGTGCTCAGCAATGTTTATACTGACTATAAACATGGAGCAGAAATGTAAACAGAGCGGCTGGGGCTGTAGCTCAGTGGTACAGCACTTGCCTAGATGAGTGAGGCCCTGGGTTCGATCCTCAGCACTACATATAAATAAACAAACAAATAAATAATTGTGTTGTGTCCATCTACCAAAATAAAAAGAAATGTAAAAGGAGGAAAAGGTCAAATCAGTCAAAAGCCTCTACACTTTGAGCGTTGCTTGAGGGCCTTTTTCAGAAATAAGGTAGCACCCAGCATGCCTGCCCCATCTCCTGGTGGGGGCAGATGTCAGTGCACTGGAATCTGAGCATTGATTCCTCCTCCCAAACCCCAATTGCAATTCCTACATAACCATTCCTGGTTCTGGACAATACTGATCTTCAAACCATATACTCTCATATGTTAAATTATCCAGTGTTGCTTTTAAGTGAGGTCAGAAGTTTTTGTTGTTGTTGTTGTTGTTGTTTTAATTTTAATTGCTGGAAAATTCAGTTGAGCTACTTGTCATTTCTGCACATCAGTTCTCCAGCCCTCATTAAGATGCATTCCATATACGCAATGGGGGTATTTACAGGTAGAAGCCAGCTATTTTTAGTCTCTCTGCAAAAGCATCTTGGAAACGTCTATTTAGAGAACCAGTTCCCCAGAGTAAGGGAGACGAAGGCCTTTCTCATCTCCATTCCCATTGGCAGGGCCAATCCATGCAACCACCTGTAAATCCACCACATCTAACACTGCATTATCCACAGGGTTCCCAGAGGCTGTCAACAATTAACCAAGTTCACCTTGAGGTGGTAACCCACGAAGAAAGGTTATCTTTGACCACAACATAGCTAATAGAAAGGTCAGAAACAGCCAATGAGTGACTACAGGAATCAAGGAGTAATATAGTGTGGCTAGGACATGTCACCAAGGCCATGTTCCACACTATGATTTGATCTTTTGGGAATAGAATGCCATGCTCTCTCTCCCTGTCCCTTCAGCTCCATCACCCTCCAAGAGGCAGAATGGCAGAGTAGTTGCAATAACAGGCTCCAGAACCAGCAGCAACTCAACTGTTTTTCATTTAGAATGACCCCTCCTCCCCCATCTATTGAGTAGGAATGTGAACAACTTCATGGGATTGTTATAAAGAGTAGGCAGATCAAAGAATGCCAAGAATTGAGCACAATGCAGGACACACA